GCCAGCAGCCCAACGAAGCCTCAAGCGGTGGTTCCCACAGCGCAGCAACCCGGCAAAGGGGATGCAGCAAGGAAAACCACCGTCACCTCTCCGCTGGGAAGCGCTGAGCAAAGGCGAGTCCCCAGGCAACGCGGCCGATTTGATCGGCACAAGGCATGCAAGCTCCACCCCCCAGTCGTTCTTAGACTCCTCATTGGGTGAGCAACGCAGCCAAGCAACACAGTTGGAGCCTCCCTCCTCCCTGGCCGGCAGGGAGGGAGGGAGAGGAGCTGCTTCCTTTGAAACCTGGGAAATTTAAGTGTCAATAAGGGACAGCAGTGGGACACGGCGCTGGGATAAGGGACTTTCCTGCCAAATAAGGGACAGTTGACAGCTATGCACTGGCCTCTGTCCCTCTTTCCTTCCCACCCTCCTCTGATGCCCTCTGGCGTCTCTGCCTCCCAAAGGCTTGCACGGCTATTTGTTGTAGTAGCCCCGGCTACAAGCTCCCCGTGCGAATGGCGCCTCTGGGGCTGGCCAGGGGGTGCTGGGTTCTAGGAGCTGAGGTGGCCTTGGAGTAAGCAAGCAAGTCTGTGGAGATCATGTTTTTGCCAATTCCATCTTGGACCGTGTAATCGCTGACCGGCCTGCTCCTGTGACAGGTGTGTGGGGAGCAGCTAATGTCTCTGGGTGAAGCAGATCAGCGAGGGTTTCTGAACCCCACCCCCCATGGACCTCTCGCTCAACTTCAGCATCCCTCACCTGTGAATATTTATGAACATTCCTTGTTGGCCTTTTTGACCGGAGTCATTTATGAACCGCTCTGCTGGCCAGTTTGGTAGAATTTTCTCAGAATCTCAAGGGCGGATTTTCTGCTGCTTCATAAATGGTCTAGGCTGGGGTGGTTGGGCAGAAGGCTATATCTCTGGGTGAAGCAGAAAATGAGGCAGAGGGGTTTGTACAAGAAGGAACCACATTTTGAGCTCCTCAGAGGGAAGGCAGGATATAATTGTAATAAATACGTACCAGTGGGAAATTTCTCCTGTTTCGTTACTGGAGACGCCTGGTTTGGCTTATTTATTTTCAGGTGGTCTTGGGGCCTTCTACAATGTGCTCTACGTGGGGCTACCTTTGAAGGTGACCCGGAAACTACAACTAATCCAGAATGCGGCAGCTGGACTGGGGACTGGGAGCGGCCGCCGAGACCACATAACACCGGTCTTGAAAGACCTCCATTGGCTCCCAGCACGTTTCCGAGCACAATTCAAAGTGTTGGTGCTGACCTTGAAAGCCCTAAACGGCCTCGGTCCAGTATACCTGAAGGAGCGTCTCCACCCCCATCGTTCTGCCCGAACGCTGAGGTCCAGCGCCGAGGGCCTTCTGGCGGCTCCCTCCCTGCGAGAAGCCAAGTTACACGGAACCAGGCAGAGGGCCTTCTTGGTAGTGGCGCCCTCCCTGTGGAACGCCCTCCTGCCAGATGTCAAAGAGAACAACAACTACCAGACTTTTAGAAGACATCTGAAGGCAGCCCTGTTTAGGGAAGCTTTTAATGTTTGATGTACTACAGTATTTAAATAATTTTTTTTGGGAAGCCCAGCTTGATGGGCGGGGTATAAATAATAAATTATTATTATTATTATTATTATTATTATTAAATACGTACCAGTGGGAAATATCTCCTGTTTCGTTACTGTAAGATGCCTGGTTTGGCTTTTCTATTTTCAGGTGGTCTTGGGGCCTTCTGCTCTCCTTCAGGAGCTTCCGAGGGCATTGGAGGCCCCCCCAGAGCCTAGCGGGATTAGGGTAGAAAGTAATTGAGGGGTGGGGAGAGAGGGGGGAAGACTCGTACGTGTGACAGACTCAGAGATCTCCCTGTTCCCGGTGACGGCAGCGTTCAAATAATGCAACAGAGGAACAGCTTGGAGGGGTTAGCCGGTGTCAAAATGCGCACGGAAAATGATGATGCCTCGCTCCCCTCCCCATTTTTCCTTCCAGAGAAACTCCTTACGGCTCCAGAAAGAGGCCTGCTCAGATTGGGTGCCAAAAGGATGCCCACGAGGTCCCCCTCGAGAGATTGGAGAAGCAGCAAAGCATAATTCGATGCAAATGAGAACTTATTTGCATTTGCATAACTCTACGACCACCAGGAAGGGACGTGGGTGGCGCTGTGGGTTAAACCACAGAGCCTAGGACTTGCCAATCAGAAGGTCGGCAGTTCGAATCCCTGCGACGGGGTGAGCTCCCGTTGCTCGGTCCCAAGCTCCTGCCAACCTAGCAGTTCAAAAGCACGTCAAAGTACAAGTAGATAAATAGGTACCGCTCCGGCGGGAAGGTAAACGGCATTTCCTTACGCTGCTCTGGTTCGCCAGAAGCGGCTTAGTCCTGCTGGCCACATGACCTGGAAGCTGTATGCCGGCTCCCTCGGCCAGTAAAGCGAGATGAGCGCCACAACCCCAGAGTGGGTCACGACTGGACCTAATGGTCAGGGGTCCCTTTACCTTTAAGCACAACTTTGTAACAAAATTAGCGTTTTAAGCCTGCCTGAACAAAGCTGCCTATTGTGTGTTACTCTTCCAACAAGTACTCCGAGTAACTTGTTATTTTCACCTTTCATGAGATGGTTTGTTTGGTGACATGGTCCATGCTCTGGTTATCTCCAGCTTGGGCTACTGCCATGCGCTCTACGTGGGGCTGCCTCTGAAGATGACCCAGAAACTACAACTGATCCAGAATGTGGCAGCCAGACTGGGGAATGGGAGCAGCCACTGAGACCACATAACACCCGTCTTCAAAGACCTTGGCTCCCAGTACGTTTCCGAGCACAATTCAAAGTGTTGGTGCTGACCTTTAAAGCCCTAAACGGCCCAGTATGCCTGAAGGAGCATTTCCACCCCCATCGTTCTGCCCGGACACTGAGGTCCAGCTCCGAGGGCCTTCTGGCGGTTCCCTCCTTGCGAGAAGTGAGGTTACAGGGAACCAGGCAGAGGGCCTTCTCGGTGGTGGCGCCCGCCCTGTGGAACGCCCTCCCATGAAATATCAAGGAAATAAACAACTATCTGACTTTTAGAAGACATCTGAAAGCAGCCCTGTTTAGGGAAGTCTTTAATGTTTGATCTTTTATTGTGTTTTTAGTGTTCTGTTGGGAGCCACCCAGAGTGGCTGGGGAAACCCAGCCAGATGGGCGGGGTATAAATAATAAATTGTTGTTGTTGTTTAAAGAGGAAGAAAAAGGGGGAAATACCAGGTGAATTCAGTCTGCCTTAAAGCGTCCTGGATTATTTAAACCAAAAGGCTTACCCAAGCTTCCCTTTTTAAGCTGCAAAGGAATGGCACTCTGCTGAACTCACAAATGTGAGGAAGGACGATACCTAATAAATAGTTCCTTTCCTAGCATCTTTTCACATTCCTACAATTATGATACAGTGGTACCTCGGGTTAAGTACTTAATTCGTTCCGGAGGTCCGTACTTAACCTGAAACGGTTCTTAACCTGAAGCACCACTTTAGCTAATGGGGCCTCCAGCTGCCGCCGCACCGCCAGAGCACGATTTCTGTTCTCGTCCTGAAGCAAAGTTCTTAACCCGAGGTACTATTTCTGGGTTAGCGGAGTCTGTAACCTGAAGCGTATGTAACCCGAGGTACCACTGTATGAGCAGGTTGGGATGCGACCACTGTCGCTTACTCTTTGGAGCAATGAATAAGTTTACGGACAGAGCACCCTCTTATGTAGTGGGTGTGAAGTTTTTCTGGGGCTGAGGGCCGGATTCACTATCTGGGCAACTTCCTGAGGGCCGAATGCCAATTGGAGAGCAGAGAGATGCAAATTTTACCTTTGCACAGAAGGCCACCTTCTACAAATAAACATCCTCTGCGGGTGGCGCTGTGGGTTAAATCACAGAGCCTAGGGCTTGCCGATCTTCGAATCCCCGCAATGACGGGGTGAGCTCCCGTTGTTCAGTCCCTGCTTCTGCCAACCTAGCAGTTCGAAAGCACATCAAAGTGCAAGTAGATAAATAGGTACCGCTCCGGCGGGAAGGTAAACGGCGTTTCCGTGCACTGCTCTGGTTCGCCAGAAGCGGCTTAGTCCTGCTGGCCACATGACCCAGAAGCTGTACGCCGGCTCCCTTGGCCAATAAAGCGAGATGAGCGCCGCAACCCGAGTCGGCCACGACTGGACCTAATGGTCAGGGGTCCCTTTACCTTGCCCAGGCAAGGAGGAAGCATGATCAGTGTTTGGAGTCACATTTCCAGCGAGACACAAAAAACACTCAAGGAGGGGGCAGGGCAGAGCAGGCAAGGGGTGTGGCCTGTGGAAAGGGGCGTGTCCTGACAAAAGGGGAGTGGCATCAGGAGAGTACCAAGGGCCAGAGAGTTTTGGAGGGCCACATTCAGCCACTAAGACACCGTAACCCAAGTTTCCACGGCAGTGCTGAAGGTTTAAAAGGTTTCCACCTACGTTTGGATACAGCCAGGTACCATTTTGAATCAAGATCACAGGTGGGTGCCTTTCCAGACTGCACCAAACGTAACTAAATTTTTCCTAATGGCCCCTTCCAATATCCTGGCCAAACTTTGCATGGCAGTTCCTGGGATGGAGGAGCAGGAGCTCACCTGTGTTTTGGATGCTGTTTTTGAATCGAGGGGGCTGACCGAACCTCTCAAAACCGCAGTGGTTTTTTGCTGTTAGAATTCCAGAGCGAAAGAAGAAGAAGGAGTTTGGATTTGATATCCCGCTTTATCACTACCCGAAGGAGTCTCAAAGCGGCTCACATTCTCCTTTCCCTTCCTCCCCCACAACAAACACTCTGTGAGGTGAGTGGGGCTGAGAGACTTCAGAGAAGTGTGACTGGCCCAAGGTCACCCAGCAGCTGCATGTGGAAGAGCGGGGAAGCGAACCCGGTTCACCAGATTACGAGTCCACCGCTCTGAACCACTACACCACACTGGCTCTCAGCAGAAAGCAACTGCTGCTGGCATTATCTGCGGGAGGAGAAAAAAGTAAATAAAAACTCGACTCTTCCGTCTGTTTTTCCCCCCACGTTGTCGTTTCCTCCAACGTAGGCTTTATAATTAAATAAATAAATGAAGGGTAATTCAAGGCAGTTTTCACTTCACAGTGGAGAGACCCTTCGCGCTTTCTCACCAGAACGTGTCAGTGGCGCGCCCGGGGCGCGGTGTATCGGAATCACGTTCACGACATCCCTTCCCCTCCCTGAGAGGCGGAAGGAAGGGAAACAGGAGAGGAAAGCTGTTGGTCTGCCTCCCGCTTTCGTGGAACACCCCGTCGCCCCAAGACACACACAAGTTTCCGCGGCATATATATATATATCTATCTATATATATATGTATCCCGCTTCCCCACAACCTGTAAACAAACATTTTTTTCTGCGGGGAGAGGGGGTGGGTGGGAAAGAATACATTTATAAATTAGACATATTAAAATATGAAATTGGGGGGTGGGGGTGGCGAGAAGGGAGAGAAATGAAATAGGAGATAGGTAACAAGATGGCAAGAGAGTCAGTGGAGAGAAAGTCTCCTAAATGTTGCAAGAAAGGATCCCGTAAATAAATAATAAAAAAGGGATATTATGAACGGGTGAGGGTGCTTCATGGGCAGCTAAGTGGGTCGAATTTCACTTCCCCCCTTTTTTACAGAGGCTGCTCAGGTAGATGGCGGGGGGGGGGTGGAGTGGGGAAACATATCCCTGCGTAAATCCAGAGGCAACGCAGTGGACACACACAAACCGATTTTCTTAAAGTTCCAGGAACCGGAGATCTCTCTGTTGCTGTTTCGTCTGACTACCATTGTAGTCAATGGAATAGCCATAAGTTCTGGGACTTTTAGAGGCAGCTGGCTGGGCAAAGGACGCGCAGCTCACACCTGGGTGATTTGAGGAAATAGGCCGGGTACCACTGCGTTATTTACCGCAGGGATGGAGACGTGACTGTTTTCCTAAGGTCTCCTCTACGGTCTATACGGGAATGCCAAGAGATTTGAGTGGGGGAGATTTGAGTGCAAAGGAAATTATGCAACACCTCTGGCTTGTATCCAGAACACTCATAGAAAGAAAACTGCACCCCTGAGAGCTGTGAGCGGGCTGTGTCTGGGGGAAGGTCCAGATTGGACTGGCGTGAACTAAAGGAAGCAAAAGTGGGGGTAGGTGGGCAGAGAGAGAGGAGGAAGCAGAAGACTTAAGGCCCGACAGAATGTGTGGCCCTACTTCAGCTGCAAAACGCTACACCAAAGGAAAACTGAAAAGCCATCAGTCCTCATTGACGCCTCATAGTCAAGATGGCCACAGGGGCAGCCGATGGAATAGCGGCGACCCGGGATGACTTGCAAGTGCAAGGGTGGTATTAGATACCCATTGCACAACTCACTTATAGGAGTTTTCTGGCAGCTGCGTCTTCGCCAAGTGCTGTGAATCTTCAAAGTGGGCACGGATGCGCATTTGAGTCTCACTTGAGCTGGTGCCACAACGCAACGTGCTCTGTTTTGCTGGGTCCGTGACCACAAGCCCCACATTAAATGAGCCCTCTCTAGCTCTCTTAATCTGCCACCCGATTCCCTGATCAGAGCCGGCACACTTGTGCAAGGCTCTCCCCTGCCTTTTGCACGGCGGGCGTGAACCGTGCAACAGAAGGCTCGTGCGCTAACCACGATTGCTGCCGCTAGCATCAACGGAGGCCAACGAAGCGATTATTAGAGGCTGCAATCCACGGCTGCCAACTGCCACCTGGAAATTGCAGGGTGGTGTACCAAGGTTTATGCAGGGAGACGGACACAGGAGTGAGGTGCAGGAAGTTGTCTCCACACCTTATCAGCTCCCCCAGTTTGGAAGAAAAGCCCCTAGTTGCATGACCAAGAAAGGAGTGAATGGCCAGGTGGACGGCCGATGCTTGAGGGGCGGGCGGAATTAGGTTAAGGGTATGTATGCTGCCACGAACCACCATCGCCCTGCACCACAAAATGAAAATGATGGTGGGGGGGAGGGATATACCGTATTACCAGCAACAAGGAAAAAAGCTTCCCCATGGCCGAGGTTGAGAAAAATGGAAGAAGAGGGAGACAAAGAGGTTTGAATGGCACGGAGTCCGTCCTCGTAGTATTCTGCCAGCTGGCCGAACCGGGCAAGGTTGGGGGGACAGGACGGGACACCCGCGTTTCATGCTCTCTCTCACGCACAGAACGCACGTATACCTCCCTCCCCGGAGTCTCAGTTTGGCACTCCAACTGGCGGCCCTGTGCTCCTGCCGCCACCCGGCTGCCTCTCTTCCGGCAAAAGCAAATGCGCAGATTCTTGCTGGCTTTCGGAAGCCTGGTCTCGCGATCCGCCACGGCGAACGTCAACCCCTGGAGCGCCCCGCCCCACACCCCGCCTGAGAGCTGTGGAGTTTTGGCAACAGGGCCAGGGAGCCTTCTTCCGTTCTGCCCCTCCATGTCCTCCCCATCCCCGGAAACCGATGCATCCTCGGAAGGCTGCGACGTGCGGATTACCGTCTTCGCAATGCAGGGTGCTGTTGGAGGGGATGAAGTTTCTCCCTCCTCCCAGAAGGCTGGTCCCGATAAGAGGGTGCCTTAAAAAAAGGCCTGGGGCGGTGTGCTTGCGTAGGGATGAAAGCGGGAGCAGGGTGGCGATTCCACCCACCCTATGGCAAACCAGGATGCGGCCGCAAGGTTTGGCAAAAAGGAACGTCCCCCGCCGCTACTGAAAACGAAACTAAACAGAGGTGCCGCCACAACTGAAGGAAAGTGCCTAACTCAGCTTGCTTTGCACCTTCGGGACCAGTTGTGTTCCACGTCCGCTCGTGCTGTGCGTGAAAGCTTTCCACCCCACCGATACATCTCCTTCTCTAAAAGTGCTCCTGGCAACCCTCTCTATTTCTGCGGCCTCCCGCATTGCGCCGGGGGTTTTCTCGGCTGGCGATGCTGGATATCCAGCTTGCCCAGGGCGGGGTTGTTGGGGAGGAAGACTTTGTCTGCCCCCTGCATGGCTTTGCCCCCCATCTACAACGGCCCCATGGGGGTCACAGGTTCCCCTCCATCGGCTTTCTCTCTCTCTCTCTTTTGCAAAGCTGTGCGAGAGAGTACGACGGAGGCGTTTGGTTTAGCCAGAGGGACGTCGAGCACAGGGGCAGGAAGAGCAGCGGGCGCCCCTTCCGCCCCCCGCGATTTGGAAAGGCGAGGACCGGACGGCTCTTGACCGGCGCTCGTGGCCCCGGGGGAGTGTGCGGGGGAAGGAAGGGTGACGATAGGCTGACCCGTCTCCGTGCCCCCTCCCCAAAGGGCAATTCCACACAGTCCTGCCAGAGTCAGCTCTCGTCCGTCAGCGGACCCCTACGCAGAGGCTGCAGTCACTGAGACAAGGACTCCGAGTGACCCCTGGGAGCTGGGCAGGCCTGCTGAGTGGCCAGGAAGCTATTTACATCTCCAATGCCAAGGAGGCTGAAATCCGGGACCGATAAGGACACTTGAGAGGGGGCCACCAACGTCTCTGGATCCCTGCCCAGTCCCACGTGGCCGGAAATTAAAGGCAGCCCCTCCGCGACGTTCCCGGGGAGGGTGAAGTCCACGGCAAGGGCATTCCCCGAGCACCGCAGTGGCTCCTGTTTGCTGGCTGCGGCCACCTGGTAGAATCCGGCTTCGCGGGGGTTCGGCGGGCGCTGCAGGAAAGCGGGCACCCGGCTGCCGGCAGCGGCTTCCTCGGCGGGGTCGAAGGAACAGTTTGTTTCCGAAGGGGTGCTGTACTCGTAGCCGTGGCCCGACTCACTCGTGCTGCCCAAACTGCACGCTGCGCTCTCGATGCTCAAAGGTTCTGTGCGGGGGGGGGGGGGAGACACACAAAAGCCTGGTTCACACATCACAGGTACTTGATTTCAACTACTGCACACTCTAAAAACGGGAGTCACCAAGACAGGGCCTTTTCGGTGGCGGTGCCCCAGCTGGGAATGCCCTCCCACCTAGCAAGGTTGCTATTTCGGGAGAAAACCGATTTATATCAATTGAACCAAAATATCTTTTGAATTCCCAAAGTCATGTTAGAACATTTTCACCCCCCTCATTTTTGGAATCTGAAAGCTGAAAAATCCATCATGTCCTACTGTAGGGTGATGACAGCGTTACAATTTCACGAAACAGTAGTACCTCGTTTTGCGACCGGGTTCCGTTCCAGAGCCCCAGTCGCTGGCTGAAAAGGACGCTGGACAAAGCACCGCGTCTGCGCACATGCGTGGATCGGTTTGTGCTTCTGTGCATGGGGCGACACAGAAGTAACCCGTTCCGGTACTTCCGGGTTTGCCACGGACGTTTGAAGGAACGGGCGCTCAACGAGGCGGACACTAGACAAGGTACCACTGGATAGCAAGCTTACTTGATATAACGAGACAGTGATTTGTCATTTTTGCGGGTACTTTTAAGTTACTTGTACATTGCTTAAAGGTAAAGGGTAAAGGGACCCCTGACCATTTGGTCCAGTCATGACCGACTCTGGGGTTGCGGCGCTCATCTCGCTTTATTGGCCGAGGGAGCCGGTGTACAGCTTCCGGGTCATGTGGCCAGCAGGACTAAGCCGCTTCTGGCGAACCAGAGCAGCGCACAGAAATGCCGTTAACTTCCCGCCGGAGCGGTACCTATTTATCTACTTGCACTTTGACGTGCTTTCGAACTGCTAGGTTGGCAGGAGCAGGGACCGAGCAACGGGAGCTCACTCTGTTGCAGGGATTCGAACCGCCGACCTTCTGATTGGCAAGCCCTAGGCTCTGTGGTTTAACCCACAGCACCACCCGCGTCCCTGTACACTGCTTAGACTACTGTAATTAAGCAGCAACGTAAGTTGTAGTAAGTAAATGACAAATAAACATGCTTTTACAGGACTCAGGTGTTTTGAAAACCAAACAAGGGTAATTCCGACCAGCCTACCTGTGCTTTCGATTGCCAGGTGATCTGGGTTGAAACGAGAGTCGAGGCATCCAGTGGACGAAGGGATGGGTGGGGAACTTCGCGAACGACTGGCACTTTCTACTTCGCCACCATCCAAAAAATTATCCACGTAATCCCTACAGGTTGGGGGGAAGCAAAACAAAACGCCTTTGCAGATTATGACGCTGTGTCCCCCTCTGCTTTAACCAATTATGGGGTGGGGTGGTTATCAAGGGGCATCCAAGCCCCACATTTTCAGGCCTACACATTTGGAATTACAAGCGGTGACAAACAAACAAACAAACAACAGACAGACAAACAAACAAACAAACAGACAAACAAACAAACAAACAAACAAACAAACAAACAAACGCACTCTGAGAATAGTGCCTGCATGTTTTGCATTCTATATCAGGTTCTACAAATCCAGGTCCTTTTTTTTTAAAAAAAAACAAACGGGAATATTGGGCGGGGGTGCCCTCCTGCAGAGTGGGGAGCAGCCCGTGACCGTGCAGCATGTGTGGCACAGGAAGAAGCAAAGATCACCAGTGTCAAAGCGATGATTCTTCAACATCAACTTTGTCGGACTGGTCATGTTGTGTGGATGCCTGACTATCGTCTTCCAAAGCAACTACTCTATTCCGAACTCAAAAATGGAAAGCGTAATGCTGGTGGTCAACAAAAGAGGTTTAAAGACTCTCTCAAGGCAGACCTTTAAAAATGTAGTATAAACACCGACAACTGGGAAACACTGGACTGTGAGCACTCCAATTGGACAACAGCCTTTACCGAAGATGTCATGGGCTTTGAAGACGCTCGAGCTCAGAACAAAAAGGAGAAATGTGCTAAGAGGAAGGCACGCTTGGCAAACCCTCACCGGGATCAACTCCAGAGCACACGGAAACACCGCTTACCTTCCCGCCACAGCAATACCTCTTTATCTACTTGCACTGGCGTGCTTTCGAACTGCTAGGTTGGCAGGAGCTGGGACCGAGCAACGGGAGCTCACCCCGTCGCGGGGATTCGAACCGCCGATCTTCTGATCGGCAAGCCCAAGAGGCTCAGGGGTTTAGACCACAGAACCACCTGCGTCCCAGTTGTCCGGGGGGGGGGGCGTGTCGCTCCTTCTGCTAAAGCTTAAATGCTTCCAGATTAAATGGGGGCACCTGCCAGTTTTCCTCTCCTACTTCCAAATCTCCCTCTCCCTCCTACTTCCTTTCCCTCCCTTCCACTTCCTAGTGTTCCTCTCCCCCTGTCTTCCCCTCTTCTGTTTCCTGGCCTTCAGCTCCTTCTCCAACTCAAGCCCCTGGGCCTGCGATTCACCCGGTGCTGTGGACAAGGGCCCCAACACTCCACCCAGCTCCCACGATGCTCCAGGGTGGCGGTAGGGGAACATACTTCTTCCTTCCAAACCGCGTCTGCTGGGTGAAGTAGTCATAGCGCTCTGATTTCTTCCACATGTAATAGTACTCCACACATTCACCTACCGACCGGGTGCGGACCTGCGGGAAAAAGGGAGGAGAGGGAAAAGGTTAGGACAAGTCACGGCTTCTGGAACACCTCTCAGGAGCGACATTTCTGCAGGGATTGCCATACGTCCGGGATTTCGAAGGCGGAAGTGACGTCCAGGGGCGATTCCCGGAAGGTGGCGGTTTGTCCTGGATCTTCGGCAAGTAAACCGAGAAATCGCGGATTTTTTTGGGTGGGGAAAAAAAAGCTCACCAACTTTGGGGGTGTCCTGGTTTTTTTTGCTTTTTGAAATATGGCAACCCCACGCTTGTGTGAACAGAGCACACGTCCCAGAATCCTCTAGGAAGCACTAGGCTTACATAACATTTTTTTTCTGGGGTGGGGGGAAGGAAGGGGCAGGATGCCTGAGAGACAGTGTGCAAAGGGTTCTCTCCAACACAAAAGAATACTACTTCACATTTCTGTAGCACACAGGTTACCAATATTTTTAGGCCCATGGGCCCACCTGACTTTGGGGTGTGCATGTGCGTGTCATGGAAGCCACCCATAGGGTTGCCAGTTCAGGAACATCCCAGGCGCTGAGATTTGGGGACCAAACTTGAGACCCAAGTTCCTGCTGCGCTGAACCTTGCAAGCTGCACGCAGTCTTCATAATTAAGCAAACATGCAAAAGAATAAAGACATTCCTGCCCACCTAAAGGAAAACTTCGGGTCAGCCCTGGAGGTCTTGAGACCCCACCCCCTCCCCTCCCTGAGAGACAGAAATAGAGAAAGCTCATACAGTGGTACCTTGGGTTACATACGCTTCAGGTTACATATGCTTCAGGTTACAGACTCCGCTAACCCAGAAATAGTACCTCGGGTTAAGAACTTTGCTTCAGGATGAGAACAGAAATCGTGCTCCAGCGGCATGGCAGCAGCAGGAGGCCCCATTAGCTGAAGTGGTGCTTCAGGTTAAGAACAGTTTCAGGTTAAGAACGGACCTCCGGAACGAATTAAGTACTTAACCCAAGGTGCCACTGTACAGTAATACCTTGGATCCCGAATGGATGTTTTGGCTCCCGAACGATTGAACCCAGAACGAGTGTTCCGGTTTGCGAACGTTTTTTGGAACCCAAATGTCCGACGGGTCTTCCACAGCGCTTTGGAAGTCGAACGGACTTCCGGAACGGATTCCGTTCGACTTCTGAGGTACGACTGTACATGCATACATGCACACTTTTTTTTCCAAGGGATCTGGGTGTGAGACCCAGTGCAATTACTCCGAGCCTTGAAAAGCACATCGAGCTAGAAGCAGAAGTTGCAAACTGTGTCTGTCTCCCAGACCTGCTCCTACAGGCATTTAAAAGGGTTATTCCTCTTTTCCCGGGCTTTACGCGTGATTGCAGGGAGACCCGCTGTCCCGGGCGACATACACACGACGGCCAACTACCTTGTTTGCTTGGATGAGGTGGAAGTTCTTTCCGTGGACCCGGAACCCGTGTTCGAAATTCCTGCATTCCTCTTCGCTCCAGGCACAGAGCTCATCTGTAGCGGAGGCAACGGGGGGAGTTATTTGTGACAGATGCCTGCTGAAAGTTTGCAGAACTTCTCCAATAGATGTTTCTCTGTGTGACTGAAGAGTTCTCCATAGCTGTCAACCGTCCCTTATTTGGTGGGAAAGTCCCTTATCCCAGCGCCGTGTCCCGCTGCTGTCCCTTACTGATGATGTCCCTTAAATTTCCCGGGTTTCAAAGGAAGCAGCTCCTCTCCCTCCCTCCCTGCCGGCCAGGGAGGAGGGAGGCTCCAACTGTGTTGCTTCTCTGCCTTGCTCACCCAATAAGGGGTCTAAGAACGACTGGGGGGTGGAGCTTGCATGCCTTGTGCCAATCAAATCGGCCGCGTTGCCTGGGGACTCCCCTTTGCTCAGCGCTTCCCAGCAGAGAGGTGACGGTGGTTTTCCTTGCTGCATCCCCTTTGCCGGGTTGCTGCGCTGTGGGAACCACCGCTTGAGGCTTCGTTTGGCTGCTGGCTGGGCTTTCTGCCTTTGGCTCAGAGGGGCTCAGAAGTTGAACATACCTGTGCTGGGAAAATCCCTTATTTTGGCTGCTGATCCCTTATTTTCGAGGCTGCTGGTCCCTTATTTTCAAATCTGTAAGTTGACAGCTATGGAGTTCTCCCCGCCCCCACCTCCACCACGCTCCTTGGAGAGAAGGGTGTGTTGATACTGTCTCACTTGGGAAAGTGAACAGGGCTGGGGAGGGGGATTATTCCCTACACCCCGGAATCTCTCACCTCGAATGACCTTCACGTTGAACCGGAGTCTCCGCAGCGCCTCTTCGGCGTTGAAGTTGCACTTCACCAGTTCGTATAGTGCCTATGCAGCAAAAAGAAGCATGTCTTAGAGAAGCGGGGAACTTCAGCGCTGTCAGTCCGGTCCTGTGGAACACCCTGCCACTAGAGTTCCAGCAGGAACCTTCTGTGACAATTTCTAAACACTTGTCGAAAACGTTTCTGTTCCACCAGGCCTATGCAGGTGATTAAGATTACATCCTTCCAAACAGTTAATAGATAACCTGTTGCTAACTTGTTAATGGTTTTATGGTATGGTTTTGTGTTTGCATTGCTGTAATTGCTATAAAAGGGACACGAGTGGCGCTGTAGGTTAAACCACAGAGCCTAGGCCTTGCCGATCAGAAGGTCGGCGGTTCAAATCCCTGCAACGGGGTGAGCTCCTGTTGCTCAGTCCTCTCCTCCTGCCAACCTAGCAGTTCGAAAGCATGTCAAAGTGCAAGTAGATAAATAGGTACCGCTCCGGCGGGAAGGTAAAAGGCATTTCCGTGCGCTGCTCTGGTTCGCCAGAAGCGGCTTTGTCATGCTGGCCACATGACCTGGAAGCTGTACGCCGGCTCCCTTGGCCAGTAAAGCGAGATGAGCGTCGCAACCCCAGAGTCAGCCACGACTGGACCTAATGGTCAGGGGTCCCTTTACCTTTAATTGCTATAAATAATAAAACCATTATTATTGTTAATTATTCGTCCAACATCAGCTGGGGGCCCAAGTTCGAGAAACACTGCTTTACAGGTTACTTTGGGGAAAGTCGTGACTGTTTAAAGTGGCATGAAATGGCTTTAAACATATAGAGTGCAGATGGGGCCTAAGAAGAGGAAAGAATGGAGTAGACTCAGGCAGAAAGGCTGCAGGTAGACTCTTCTGCGACGGCAAGGGCTGGGGCTCACAAGAGCTTTCAAGATGGATTTGTATCTCACGGCACACTACCATCCCATGCGCTGTTTGGGAATGAACACTGAACTCACTTGCTCATTGTCCTTGACCGTGTCCCCCTCTGCAAGGCTGGCGTTCGAGACTTCGTCCCACCTTCTCTTTATGGCTCGGTAAAGGAACTCTTCAACTTCCCTCTCGGGGAGGATGTTCGGGTCCCAAAGAAGCTGGTCGTCGTTTTCGTAGACTGGGAGAGAGGAAATATTGGAGGGTGGGTCTGAGATCGACGGCCCCGAGCAAATACTTTTGCCTTCCACTAAACCGGCTGGCAGCTGAGTGACACAGACTGTGGGGCGGACACCCTCCCTTCTGAAGCCACCCCAGAACCAAGTGGGTTGTGGCAACAGGAGGAACAGAAAGGCGCATGCCTCCTCCACCGAGCCCGCTTGCCCACATGGAATCCCTGCTCGCCTGTGGCGACCAGGCGAGGAATCAAATGTGAAGGATTTATATATATATATAAAAGTTCCTTTACTTAGAAAGAGGACGCTGGCATTTCCCAAGGAGCCAAATAATACTCTCCCCTGGTTCTCTTGGAACACACACAGACGCACGCGCGCACACACACACACACACAACGCTGGCTGGGATGAAGATGAAGTCCGGAGCATGTCAGGGCCCAATAGGTGAAGTTTGCCTACCTTTTTCGCCATGCCTGTTCAGGTGGAGGAGAGGAACAGCTGCCTGGTATTGAGGACCAACCATGATCTCCTGTGAGCGAAATAATAACAAATAACAACTGCAGGATCATTCAGTTGGCAGTAGTTGTGTGCCAATCTTTCCTTGCCTCTCCTGCTTCTGGGAGGTAAGCTGGGAGGTAGAACCTCTTCCATATCTATCTATCTATCTATCTATCTATCTATCTATCTATCTATCTATGTAAAGGTAAAGGGACCCCTGACCATTAGGTCCAGTCGTGACCGACTCTGGGGTTGCGGCGCTCATCTCGCTTTGTTGGCCGAGGGAGCCGGCGTACAGCTTCCGGGTCATGTGGCCAGCAGGACTAAGCCGCTTCTGGCGAACCAGAGCAGCGCACGGAATTTGGCTAACAACACTCCTGAATGTTTCAGTACTGGCCAAATACTGTAATAGGTGAAAGAAGCTTCTCTTAGATTTCCTCTTAGCCAGGGCCCCCTCCCTGTTCCCCAACCGTCCCGGTGGGGGCCGGCGACCACCCAGGACCGGACCCAAAGGCCTACCTTCTTGCATTCGTTGGCGGGGATGGCGTCTTCTTCCGAGTCCTCAGCCGAGAAGGAGGCACACGGGGAGGAGCAGCGTCCTTTGCCTCCATCAGCCAGGAAGTTTGCTTTTTTTCCGGAAAGGGAGGAAAGTGAAGAGACAACCTCAATGCATGGGAGACGTAAGGAGCGCGCGAGAGAGGCCCTGTGTCAGGAGCAGGCCAGAGGCCCTTCAATTCCGCTGTCCTCTTTGCCATAGGGGTCTACTAGAAGCCCGCAGGCAGAGAGTTGGCGAGGTGAACTGGGCCTGAGAGAGACTAGGGTTTAAATCCACCGCACTCGGACACATGAAGCTCACCGGAAGACCCGGGGGTGTGTGTGTGTGCACAGCCACTGGCTCTCTCAGCCTAGTCCGCCTTGCAGAGTCGTTGTGGGGATTAAACAGAGAGGAGTACCTGGGAGAGGTAAAGGTAAAGGTAAAGGGACCCCTGACCATTAGGTCCAGTCGTGGTTGACTCTGGGGTTGTGGCGCTCATCTCGCTTTATTGGCCGAAGAAGCCGGCGTACAGCTTCTGGGTCATGTGGCCAGCAGGACGAAGCCGCTTCTGGCGAACCAGAGCAGCGCACGGAAACGCTGTTTACCTTCCCGCCAGAGTGGTACCTATTTATCTACTTGCACTTTGATATGCTTTCGAACTGTTAGGTTGGCAGGAGCTGGAACAGAGCAACAGGAGCTCACCCCGTTGCGGGGATTCGAACCGCCGACCTTCTGATCGGCAAGCCCTGGGCTCCGTGGTTTAACCCACAGCGCCACCCACGTTCCAATGGCACATGTTAATTTATCATTAAGAGCTATAACCCACACCTCTTCATACCACAGGGCGGGCGCCACCACCGAGAAGGCCCTCTGCCTGGTTCCCTGTAACCTCACTTCTCGCAGGGAGGGAACCGCCAGAAGGCCCGCGGAGCTGGACCTCAGCATCCAGCCAAGAGAAGCAAAAGCAGGGGAAGGGTCCCGGCTGGCCTTTCCTTTGTGTGTGTGTGTGTGTTAAATACGACTATGCCTTTGTTCCCTTTTTCTCGAGGCATCTACACAGAGAAAACTTACATCCCATCTGGTTGGGGAAAAGGTCCGAGGCGTCGTGGGAGGTGACGGAAGGGGTCAGGTCGTCGGCCGAAGACTGAGTCTCTTCTTCTTCTTCCCCAGAAAGCAGGTCCTTTGCTATCTGCTCCTGGCCAGAAAGAAGGAAGGAAGGGCGTTGTTGTTTTTTAAATTATTTTCTTTTATTTTGACAAAGTAATATTCATAAAAGAATAAAAATGTGCACCCCGTCTCCGAGACCATTCCATTGTAACTATCCAACCTCCAAAAATTTCAACACCTCTTCCAGTGGTTTGACCCCTTTCTGTTTTAAAAGTACAAATTCTACAAACACCTTCCACATCGCCTCCAAATCATTTCTCCTGTGTATTCCCCGCCTTACCTTAATGGCACATGTTAAGGTAAAGGGACCCCTGACCATTAGGTCCAGTCGTGGCCGACTCTGGGGTTGCGGCGCTCATCTCGCTTTACTGGCCAAGGGAGCCGGCGTGCAGCTTCCGGGTCGTGTGGCTAGCATGACTAAGCCGCTTCTGGCGAACCAGAGCAGTGCACGGAAACGCCGCTTACCTTCCCGCCAGAGTGGTACCTATTTATCTACTTGCACTTTGACGTGCTTTCGAACTGTTAGGTTGGCAGGAGCAGGGACCGAGCAACAGGAGCTCACCCCGTCACGGGGATTCGAACCGCCGACCTTCTGACCGGCAAGCCCTAGGCTCAGTGGTTTAACCCACAGCGCCACCGCGTCCCTTATGTATCCTGAAAAGTCCACAACGTGAGGTGCCACTTCTGCGCATGCTTCTGCGCATGCAGCGAAACCCGGAAGTATACACTTCCGGGCTTGCCGTGTTCGCAACCCTAAAGTTACGTTACCCGAAGGTAACATATCCCAAGGGTCCACTGTAATAAATACTGTGCCACCTCTTAACTTGCCTTTTCCCTAAGCTAAAAAAGTCCAAAATGCCGCACACTTTCCTCATTGGGGTGTTACCCCACACCCTTTCCATAAAGGGGAGGGGGCACCTCAAAGGGCTTATCGGTCCCTGTGCTTCTCCAGTGTTCAAAACTCCCACTGTTCTAGGCAAATTTTGCAACAGGGGATTTCATGAGTGCAAGCCGTTTCTGAGCTCTGGGCCAGAGATTTCACATTAAAACAGCAGAGTGGAAGGAAAGGAGAACCTTCTTCTTCCTCCCCACTTCTAGCTATTCTCTGAAGACTAGATGAGAGACCCTCTTAAGAATATTAGGGTGGGTGGGCAAGGACTAGACCGTGTGAAAAAACGAACACAATATTTTAGCTGCAGTTCGTTCATTTTGAGCTTTGTATGAGAAGAGAAGACTCCCTGGAAAAGACCCTGATGTTGGGAAAGATGGAGGGCGCAAGGAGAAGAGGACGAGATGGTGGGACAGTGTTCTCGAAGCTACCAGCATGCGTTTGACTAAACTGCGGGAGGCAGTGGAAGACAGGAGTGCCTGGCGTGCTCTGGTCCAGGGGGTCACAAAGAGGCGGACACGACTAAACAACAACAGCCTTTGGCAACCTGGCACAACATCACAATGTTGTCGAACTACAACTCCCGGGCTGGCACTGATGGGAGTCATAGTCCAACAATGACCAGAGGGCGTTAGGTTGGCGAAGGCTGTGCCAAACGAGAGCGAGGACGTCGGCTTGAAATAATGGGCAGCTGTTAAAACCACAGGCTGACTTTTAGCCTCTATTTAAATGATGTCAATTTGCATCCTGGCCTGGTAAACAGCGCCACCTGTCAGCAGCCGCACAAACTGCAGCGTGATGTCCCGCTTCAGCGGTACCTATTTATCTACTTGCACTGGCGTGCTTTCGAACTGCTAGGTTGGGGACACGGGTGGTGCTGTTGGGACGCGTCCCAGGAAAGGGGGGCAATTGACATGCCCCCAGCTGGCTCCAGCCCACCGGCTGGCAGCCGGGCGAACGGAAGGGCAGAGAGAGGCTGTGTAAAGCGTATTTGCAGGGATTTTATTCAGCATCAGGAAAAACATGTCTGCTCCCCTTCGTGTCCAAGCAGCAGGAGGCATAAGCAAAGGCTATACACAAACGGTATAGTTAAAGGTCCGTATAGTTAAAGCCATGGTTTCCCCAGCAGTGATGTATGGAAGTGAGAGATGGACCATAAAGAATGGATGCTTTTGAATTATGGTGCTGGAGGAGACTCTTGAGAGTCCCATGGACTGCAAGAAGATCAAACCTCTCCATTCGGAAGGAAATCAGCCCTGAGTGCTCACTGGAAGGACAGATCCTGAAGCTGAGGCTCCAAGACTTTGGCCACCTCAGGAGAAGAGAAGACTCCCTGGGAAAGACCCTGATGCTGGGAAAGATGGAGGGCACAAGGAGAAGGGGATGACAGAGGATGAGATGGCTGGTGATATGATAGCCATGTTCAAATATATAAAGGGATGTCACATAGAGGAGGGAGAAAGGTTGTTTTCTGCTGCTCCAGAGAAGCGGACACGGAGCAATGGATCCAAACTACCAGAAAGAAGATTCCACCTAAACATTAGGAAGAACTTCCTGACAGTAAGAGCTGTTCGACAGTGGAATTTGCTGCCAAGGAGTGTGGTGGAGTCTCCTTCTTTGGAGGTCTTTAAGCAGAGGCTTGACAACCATATGTCAGGAGTGCTCTGATGGTGTTTCCTGCTTGGCAGGGGGTTGGACTCGATGGCCCTTGTGGTCTCTTCCAACTCTATGATTCTATGATTCTATGATTCTATGGACAGTGTTCTCGAAGCTACCAGCATGAGTTTGACCAAACTGTGGGAGGCAGTGGAAGACAGGAGTGCCTGGCGTGCTCTGGTCCAGGGGGTCACGAAGAGTCGGACACCACTAAACAACAACAACAAATTCTTGTTATTAAAAAAGCGCAACTTGTTGCGCCCGCAACCTAGGTTTAAGGTGCCATTATCATATCTCGGTTTCTGTCGCTGTGCTTCTCCCCATAAAGGTGACCCTCATGAGGACTAGGAGCAGGGAAAGGCGGCTGGCAGGGAAAACGGGACTTACCTTATCCAGGGTCATGTCTGGAAGGTTGGGCGAGGCATCGTTGCTCTCACTGTCCTGCTCGGAGATGGGGTCAGAGGCCTCGTAGCCGTAGAGCGCAAGCAATTCCTCAAACGGCATTTCAGAGTTCTGAACGGCAGAAGAACTTCGTCAGGAAGGGAAGGGGCTCCCTACCCCACCCCCGGAGCTACGCCGGCCAGGCAGAGGATCAAGGGGGCAGACTTGGCAGCTGAAACAGCCTGCATGTCATGGTAAAGGAAGCTGCCTTGACGCAGTCAGGCCGCTGGAGCCACCAGCTGTACTTTGGGTTAAGTACTTACCGTATTTTTTGCTCTATAAGACTCACTTTTCCCCTCCTAAAAAGTAAGGGGAAATGTGTGTGCGTCTTATGGAGCGAATGCAGGCTGCGCAGCTATCCCAGAAGCCAGAACAGCAAGAGGGATTGCTGCTTTCGCTGTGCAGCGATCCCTCTTGCTGTTCTGGCTTCTGAGATTCAGAATATGTTTTTTCTTGTTTTCCGCCTCCAAAAACTAGGTGCGCCTTGTGGTCTGGTGCGTCTTATAGAGCGAAAAATACGGTAATTCGTTCCGGAGGTCTGTTCTTAAGCGGAAACTGTTCTTAACCTGAAGCACCACTTTAGCTAATGGGGCCCCCCGCTGCCGCCGCCCCGCCCGATTTCTGTACTTATCCTGAAGCAAAGTTCTTAACCCAAAGCACTATTTCTGGGTTAGCGGAGTGTGTAACCTGAAGCGTATGTAACCCGAGGTACCACTATAAATTTTTTCTTAAAGTTACATCCTTAAGATATCAATGACTTCCCTTCTTCTCTTTCCATGGTTCATTTTACATATCATAAAAGGTAAAGAGACCCCTGACCATTAGGTCCAGTTGTGAACAACTCTGGGGGTGCGGCGTTCATCTCGCTTTATCCCGTTCGCAACCAGCGGTACCGCTGTGTTTCTTTTTCCAAACTTTAATAAAATCTATTCAAAAGGGAGAGAGAGAGAAAACCAAAAAGTGCCTTACTTGGGAGGCATTGAAGTTCTTCTCTAGCTCCTCCAAAGGCTTCGCTTTCCCCTGTGAGTGTTCCTGCCGCTGATCTTCCTCAGTCTCTTCCCGCACCCCGTAGTTCTGGGAAAGGATCTCGGCCAGGTTGAAGCGGTGGTCACCTGAGCCCATAGACACCACTGCATGGAACGACGGTTGGGACAATTAGGCAGGTTCATTTCGAAGAACGCTCCTCACACGAGCAGCGACACAGCACCAGGGCTGGGAGGAAATCTCCTGCCTGGCTGTTTCAGTGATTAAAAAAGGGGGTGTTGCTTTTGCAAAACGGCCTTTCGGGGTATGCCGCCATGGCAAGGGAAATTTGCAGCAAAATATAGCAAAGGTTGAAATTTGCAGCAAAATACTGTAGCAAATTCGCAGCAAAATACAGTCGTGCCTTGGATCTCTAACGCCTTGGCTCCTGAACAAATCGGCTCCCCAATGAACGAAACCCGGAAATGAGTGAGTGTTCCGGTTTTTGGAAGGCGAATGTCTGGCACTGCTTCCGTGGCTTCCAATTGGCTGCAGGAACTTCCTGCAGCCAATCAGAAGCCGCGCTTTGGTTTCCGAATGTTTTGGAAGTTGGACGGACTTTCGGAACGGATTCCTTTCGACTTCCAAGGTGCGACTGTACAGCAATGGTTGAAATATGCAGCAAAATATAGCCAAGGTTGAAGAAAAATCTTAAAAGGAGAGAGTTAGTCGAGTCAATCTAAACGTAGATCAAAACAACAGTCTGATGTTGGGCACCTTTCTTAGGGGAGGTGATTCTGCAAGGCGTGGAGCCACCACAGAAAAGGCTCCGATACCAACACCACCGCTAGGGTACCAATCCATCTCTTACCAAAGGGCTGTGTTAGAAACTCAGATAATATAAGCTAATTGTCAAATGCCACCTTGAACTTTTATGTTTGCCACAATGGAATGTCTAGGCGTCTCCCCCCGAAAATGAAATCTCTTCTTCTTCATTTCATTTATATGAAATGAAGGCTTTTTATTTAGAGGGGGGGGGAATCCTTAAAGCAGCTTGCAGCACAACTTTAAATAAAACCCAAAATAAAACAAATTCAATCTTCAAGGAAGATATTTCAGATCCTTCTCTAAGCGACATTTTGCTTTCCTCATACTTGTTTACCTACTTACCGTATTTTTCGCTCTATAGGACGCACTTTTCCCCCCTCCAAAAATTAAGGGGAAATGTGTGTGCATCCTTTGGAGCGAATGCAGGCTCCTTGGCTTCAGTGATAGCAACGCGAAGCCTCCGAAGCGCAGAGGGAGCGCTCCCTCCGTGCTCCGGAGGCTTCGCGTTGCTTTCGCTGAAGCCTGGAGAGCGAGAGGGGTCAGTGCGCACCGACCCCTCTCGCTCTCCAGGCTTCAGGGATAGCCGCCACGAGTTTCCCCTGCGCTCCACAGGCTTCAGGTTCCTTTCGCTGAAGCCAGGAGAGCAAGACTCTCCCGACTTCAGGAGAGGGAGAGCTGCGCAGTGCCCCTTCAGCCAAGCGGGAGGAGAAATGGAAGGGGCTCCGTATCTCCTGCCGCTTCGCTGAAGGGGCACTGAGCAGAGAGGGGGAGATTTTTTTTTTCTTGTTCTCCTCCTCTAAAACAAGGTGCGTCCTATGGTCCGGTGCATCCTATAGAGCGAAAAATACGGTAATTTATAGAAGTGCCCCCTAGCAGAAGGACTCTAGGAAGCCTGTGGAGTATGGTGGTTAGAGTGTCAGACTAGTACCTGGGAGATCTGGGTTCAAATCCGCCCTCCATCATGGAGCTCACTGGGTGACTCTGGAGTCAGTTCACAGCCTCCTAACCTACCTCACAGGGTCGTTGTACAGATTAACTGAGGAGGGGGGAGTGAGCCATCTACTCCTTGGAGAAAAGGGTGGGAGATAAATGCAATAAAAAAGTTCTTCTGGTGATCTGCTAAAAAACGCTGGAGGGGCCTGCCAGACGGAGACGTCAGGTGCTAACCCGGCAACCAGAGATCTCCACGTGTTTTCAGTTGGACCCGTGTCAGCCGCAGAACGCACCTGGCGCATGTCTAACACAGTCCCTAATCTAAGAGGAGGAATTCCCCCTGTCTCGGGAGGAGCTGTAAACGGGCTACCTTGAAGGTGACCCGGAAACTACAACTAATCCAGAATGCGGCAGCTAGACTGGTGAATGCGAGAGGCCGCCGAGACCACGTAACACCGGTCTTGAAAGACCTACACTGGCTCCCAGTACATTTCCGAGCACAATTCAAAGTGTTGGGGCTGACCTTTAAAGCCCTAAATGGCCTCGGTCCAGTATACGTGAAGGAGCGTCTCCACCTCCATCATTCTGCCCAAACACTGAGGTCCAGTGCCGAGGGCCTTCTGGTGGTTCCCTCGCTGCGAGAAGCCAAGTTACAGGGAACCAGGCAGAGGGCCTTTGTGGTAGTGGCTCCCTCCCTGTGGAACGCCCTCCCACTAGATGTCGAAGAGAAAAATAACTACCAAACTTTTAGAAGACATCTGAAGGCTGCCCTGTTTAGGGAAGCTTTTAATGTTTAATAGGTTATTGCATTTTAGTGTTTTGTTGGAAGCCGCCCAGAGTGGCTGGGGAAACCCAGCCAGATGGGCGGGGTATAAATAATAAATTATTATTATTATTATAAGAGACATTCTTCCATCTCTTGCATTCCTCCATTTCAGGAAAGGGGAAAGCCTTTTCTGAACTGACAGGGAGTCGGGAGCCCGACAAGGTCCTCACCCTGGTTCAGAGCCAATGGAAACCAGGGACAAGGTGGATGAATACAGGGCAGATGCTCAGCGACCCACCTTCCCGCAGAGGTGAGAGCCAGGTGACGGAGGAGGGGGGAAAGGCAGAAGTCCTGCAGTACCTGGCACTAGGTAGATTCAAGATCTCCGTACCTGCCGTGGTATGAAGGCTGGGTCTCCCAGGACATAAGTTCCGCGCAGGGTAGGACACAACCCTTGGACTCTGCCTCCCAACTGAGGCCTTTAAAAAAGAAAAGCAGGACACATGGTTAGTATTTATCTATGCCTTTCTAGGATTCAAAGGGACGCAGGTGGCGCTGTGGGTTAAACCACAGAGGCTAGGACTTGCCGATCAGAAGGTCGGCGGTTCGAATCCCCGCAATGACGGGGTGAGCTCCCATTGCTCGGTCCCTGCTCCTGCCAACCTAGCAGTTCGAAAGCACGTCAAAGTGCAAGTAGATAAATAGGTACCACTCCGGCGGGAAGGTAAACGGTGTTTCCGTGCGCTGCTCTGGTTCGCCAGAAGCGGCTTAGTCCTGCTGGCCACATGACCAGGAAGCTGTACGCCGGCTCCCTCGGCCAATAAAGCGAGATGAGCGCCACAACCCCAGAGTCGGTCACGACTGGACCTAATGGACAGGGGTCCTTTTACCTTTACCTTCTAGGATTCAAGACCCTGCTTTTTCTATGAAACCAGGAGTAGGGAACTATTCTACGTTCAAGGACCGCGTTCCCTCCTCACAAACTTTCTGTGGGGGTGCGTGCCTCATGTCCTATCGACTGTTGTGTTTTCAGCTGTTTCAATTTATGCAATGAACTGCCCAGGGTCCCGTACTGGGAGAAAAAGCTGTATATAAATAAATTAAATTGACGGGATGAAATTAAAGACTTTTAACACCACACGCCCTTTCGTGGTAAGGAAGGCAACAGGAAAACACTGGAAAAAGGTGGGACGGCAACTTTCAATTCCCATTGGCTGACACTGAGAGGTGCTCGCTGTGTCCGGCCGTGCCATAAGAAAACAGCTGTCGGGGTTGTGACCCTTCCTCATTTTCTCCTTCCTTTTGCCCCCCTCCCTCCAACCATCCGGTTCTCCGCCACCTTCCCTAGTAAAGGTAAAGGGACCCTTAACCATTAGGTGCAGTCGTGACCAACTCTGGGGTTGCGCGCTCATCTCGCTCTATAGGCCGAGGGAGCCGGCGTTTGTCCGCAGACAGCTTCCGGGTCATGTGGCCAGCATGACTAAGCCGCTTCTGGCGAACCAGAGCAGCACACGGAAACGCCGTTTACCTTCCTGCTGGAGCGGTACCTATTTATCTACTTGCACTTTGACGTGCTTTCGAACTGCTAGGTTGGCAGCAGTTGGCAGCCACCTTCCCTGCCCCAGTCTTAATTCTCCACCGTTCCTTCACAATACAGTGGTACCTCAGGTTAAGTACTTAATTCGTTCCGGAGGTCCATTCTTAACCTGAAACTGTTCTTAACCCTGAAGCACCACTTTAGCTAATGGGGCCTCCTGCCGCCGCTGCCGCACAATTTCTGCTCTCATCCTGAAGCAAAGTTCTTAACCCGAGGTACTCTTTCTGGGCTAGCGGAGTCTGTAACCTGAAGCGTATGTAACCCGAAGTACCACTGTAGTCAATGGGCCCGAGCGGTTTTAAGAAGCGCACAAACGAAACAGTCACCTTGCTGCAGAAGGGCATCGACACTGAAAGCTGCCCAGCCCAGAGTGAGCATGTCGCAGGGCACACTTTGCTATCTTAAGAAGAGAGAGCTTCTAAAGGAAGCCTAAAGCAAGAAGACAAGACCTTATATTTATACGCAACAGTATAAATTGATTGCGGAAAACTGGAAAAGTGGTATTGTACCGACAAAAATAGAGTGGCTTGCCAAATTAGTGGAGTACTACAATATATCCGAAACAATGGGATAAATCGGAAGGATCTCAAAAGAAAAGATAGATAGGGACTGGAAGGTGTTTAAAAGATACTTGCAAAACCATATCGAAAAATCAGAACTCCTATTAGAATAAACAAGTTCCGTTTCAAACACTGAAATACTGAATAGGATAACAATGTGTAATAGAAAAAGAAGTGTGAAATTAGGCTAAAGGTGTGTGAAAGAAAGTAATAGAATGGAAAGAAATTGCAATTGAGTAGATTGGAAGTCTAACACAAAGGTGGGGTGAGGGTTGGTGGATGGCGATGGGGAAAGGAATTATTTGTGGGATTGAGTGTAAGTATGTTTCAACACTTTTAAGGATTGTATGAAATGTATGTTTGTATGCTTGTATATGAAAACAAACATACATTTCATACAATCCTTAAAAGTTTGTATGCTTGTATATGAGGACGCTGGTGGCGCTGTGGGTAAAAGCCTCAGCGCCTAGGGCTTGCCGATCGAAAGGTCGGTGGTTCGAATCCCCGCGGCGGGGTGCGCTCCCGTCGTTCGGTCCCAGCGCCTGCCAACCTAGCAGTTCGAAAGCACCCCCGGGTGCAAGTAGATAAATAGGGACCGCTTACAAGCGGGAAGGTAAACGGCGTTTCCGTGTGCGGCTCTGGCTCGCCAGAGCAGCGATGTCACGCTGGCCACGTGACCCGGAAGTGTCTCCGGACAGCGCTGGCCCACGGCCTATAGAGTGAGATGGGCGCACAACCCTAGAGTCTGGCAAGACTATGTTATATGTGTGTTGATGATGAACTATTTTAACAATAAACAATTTCTTGAATAAATAAAAATAAGAGAGAGCTTGTGCAGAGATGGTTCGCCGGATTTTACAAGGCAACCGTGGGAATAAGAGCTCCCTGCGTACCAGGAAAACTTTGCAAAGGAGGCTGCCTCCCAACTTAAAGGCAGGCACTCAACATGTGCTGCAATGCGCTAGTCCCTGGTGTCTCATTAGTGGCCGGCGGTGTATTCTCACCAGAGACCACCCTGTCTGCTTGCAGAAAGAATCCAATGGATGCCAGGAATGGGAGTCGGAACAAGAGTTTCGACCCAAGAGTTTCCAAGAGAGGCTCTCCTTCTCTCAGAGCAGGGGCTGGGGTTTCTTTGCAGCTATTTTATTTATTTATTGACGTTATCCCACCCCACTTTTATTTGGAAAGTGCTGGTGGCGGCTCCAAACTAGACGTGCACCAAATCTGAATACTGGGAATCCTGTAAAAACTCTTCCTTGCATAAAGGTTTCCTCCAACGTGCGATATTTTCCTCCCCCGCCCCAAATTTTTTTATTAGTTTTCGCAATATTATAAACAAACAAACATAAAACAGACAAACATAAATCATAGCCTTATTGAAAATTAGTTATTAACTTTGTTAAGTGACTTCCTCGCTTCCCCTTGGTTGAATTTCATTGCATGTCCTTTTGGTTTTCCAAATCCCAATTTTTATGAAATCTAACTTAAACATTAACATCCTTAGATCTTCACCTTATGGAATTAAACATATTACTGTATTTTTCGCTCTATAAGACGCACCAGACCACAAGACGCACCTAGTTTTCGGAGGAGGAAAACAAGAAAAAAAATATTCTGAATCTCAGAAGCCAGAACAGCAAGAGGGATCGCTGTGCAGTGAAAGCAGTGATCCCTCTTGCTGTTCTGGCTTCTGGGATAGCTGCGCAGCCTGCATTCGCTCCATAAGACGCACACACATTTCGCCTTAATCTTTAGGAGGGAAAAAGTGAGCCTTATAGAGCAAAAAATACGGTAACACAAATAAAATCCTTAGCCCATTAAGTATCTGCAAGCTAACGTGCGATATTTTCCAATGATCGGTTACTAATATATCCCTGCTTTCTTTTTTTCAACAGAAGTCGAGATTCCAGGGGTTCCATTGCAGAATCACCACCTAGGGGGGAGATCCCACCAAAATGCGACCAGTTACAGCCCATCTTCCCTTCTTCGTAAATTTATGAGGGAGGGAAAGCGACTAATAATTAATACCCTGGGCTTTGGACACTTTGCACGCACATTTTTTTAGGACACATCTGATTTCTGTAACTTCCGAGTTGCCGGAGCAGTTCTTCATACTGCGCTTTCAATACTAATATTGTGTTTAAATGGCTGTAACCCACCCTGGGAACTTAAGATTTTAAACTGTGATTAAAAATAACGAACCATGATTCAAACAACCAAAACGATGAGAAGGTTCTGGGGACAAACTCTAACTTGGTGATCATTCAGTGCTCGTCAGCGGTGGTGGCAGATTTCAGAGGAGTCTTGGGTCAGATACCCTGAGCGGAGGCTCCCTTCCCGAGTGAGCCGAACTTCTCGGTTAAAGGCAGTGTTAAAGGTAAAGGTAAAGGTACCCCTGCCCGTACGGGCCAGTCGTGACCAACTCTGGGGTTGCGTGCTCATCTCGCTTAAGAGGCCGGGAGCCAGCGCTGTCCGGAGACACTTCCGGGTCACGTGGCCAGCGTGACGAAGCTGCTCTGGCGAGCCAGCACCAGCGCAGCGCACGGAAATGAAAGGCAGTGTTAGAAACTCATATATACGCTAGGCGCCAAATGGCTCCTTAAACCAGAGTTAAAGGTAAAGGGACCCCTGACCATTAGGTCCAGTCGTGACCGACTCTGGGGTTGCAGCGCTCATCTCGCTTTATTGGCCAAAGGAGCTGGTGTACAGCTTCCAGGTCATGTGGCCAGCAGGACTAAGCCACTTCTGGCAAACCAGAGCAGCGCACGGAAACGCCGTTTACCTTCCCGCCGGAGTGGTACCTATTTATCTACTTGCACTTTGAGGTGCTTTTGAACTGCTAGGTTGGCAGGAGCAGGGACCGAGCAATAGGAGCTCACCCCGTCGCAGGGATTCGAACCACCAACCTTCTGATCGGCAAGTCCTAGGCTCTGTGGTTTAACCCACAGCGCCACTCACGTCCCTTAAACCAGGGTTACAAAATGGAACGCCTAGTTGCCATTTGGGGGGCTGGGCAGGTCAAAAGTTGTATTTTTCAATTTTGCTCCCGAAATTCATTCTGATCGTGCGGGTGAAATAGAACAGATAGAAATTTTACAGGGTGGGGCACGAATGTGTGAAAACGGTCCAGATCCAAGGATCCCCCAGGCACGCACCTCCAGGTGGTGGAGACGTCAGGCCGCCAGCCTGGACATCTTCATTTGGCACCTGGACATCTTCATTTGGTCGCAAGTGGCCAATAGCCAGGTGCAAAACCACAGAAGGGAGGAGAGTTGTATTTGGGTCCTGTAGACATCTGCTTGGCCCTTGTGTGGAAAAAGGATGCTGGAGCAAATGGACCACTGGCCTAATCCAGCAGGCTCTTCTTACGTTCTTATGAGAGCACAAGGCATGCGGGGCGTATTAAACCATCTCCTCACTCTTGAAATTGGTTGCTTCCATCTTCCAAACCATTGGATCGCCTGAATGCAGCCCCTGTGCTTCTGTCTTCTTCGAAAACAACAAAGCGATTTCCCCTCCGCTATTGATGTGGTAGGGAACCTCCAGATGCTGTGGGACTCCAATTCCCATCAGCCCCGGCCAGCATGGCTAACAGTCAGGGATGATGGGAGTTGCAGTCCAGCAACATCTGGAGAGAATGAACCCAGTTATATCCCAGCGAAATCCCAGTAAGCGATCGAGCCCTGAGTGTTGAGTGTGATCTTAAGGCTCCAATCTGTTCTTGGGAGGACGAGGAGTAGCTCTCAATTAAAAGAATGTGTTTTACCATTTCTGTCATGGTTCAATCCTGATTCCCGAAGGAGTAGGATCCAGAAACGACAAGCATTTCACCCCACTCTGTTTCCACGGACCTCTTGAAGCATTTTCACAGCTACATCCAGCAAGGGACAAAGAGGGTGATGATGGGCCCTTGATGTCAGCATTCTCATGGACATCGAAGTTCCACCAGAGATGATCTCCAAAACCTACAAAGTTGGCCCAACCTCAGCCACAATACCCTCTCCCTGGAAATCACTGTCCCACTTCAGGAAACCTTACAGCAGGGGTGTCAGTGTGGTGCCTTCAAAAAAAAAATTTTTTTTTTGGACTACAACTCCCATCAACTGCTGCACTAACAGGGGACGGTGAGATCTGTAGTCCCCACAACTTCCGGAAAGTATTGCATTGGCTGCCCCTGCCTTAGAGGATCAAACACGTGTGTGTCTGTGTTTCCCATGGGAAGCCCATGGCACCAGTGGTGCGATTCGGCACCCAAATCGGAAGCATGTACAGAGCCTATTTTCAAGAACCGACATGACCCCTTTGTTTACACCTGCGTTTTGCACCCCCCCAAAAAAAACTTCTCAGGGTAGAGAGAGCAAATGTATAGGGCACGGAAGCCAACGATGGCAACTTTTAAGTGAAACACTCACAATCCAACATGATTGTACGACATAATAATAATATTTACATGCCGCCCATCTGACTTCCTCCATTATCACCAATTCATTATCACCAATGCTTCTGGTGAGACCCTTACCAAACAAAAAAAGGAATTCCTCTACCATTTTCTAATCATCGCTTCTCAGTCATTCCCATACGATCTCGGCCTCCACCTGTACCCCCCCAAACCCCTGCAACCCTCAAGGCAGGCCCCCCAAAGATGACCCACCAGCAGCAGCCTCCACCAAGGGGTCCCAAACAAAGTTGGCTTGACCCTTTGAAAGCACCTGCAGTTTAACACCACCCTTAATTCTTCGCAGACCTAGTTGCATTAAGGTTCAGCCCCCAAGTGTCACCAGCCATCACAACATTTGTTTCATTTTCATCTCTTGCACCTTGCTCGATAAGTCACGTTGGGGTGTTTTTTGGGTGGGATGTGATATATATTCACATTTAATGGGCCTTAAATCACTCTTGAGGGACGCGGATGGCCTAGGACTTGCCGGTCAGAAGGTTGGCGGTTTGACGGGGTGAGTTCCCGTTGCTCGGTCCCTGCTCCTGCCAACCTAGCAGTTTGAAAGCACGTCAAAGTGCAAGTAGATAAATAGGTACCACTCCGGCGGGAAGGCAAACGGCATTTCCGTGCGCTGCTCTGGTTCGCCAGAAGCGGCTTAGTCTTGCTGGCCACATGACCCGGAAGCTGTATGCCGGCTCCCTCGGCCTATAAAGCGAGATGAGCGCCACAACCCCAGAGTCAGCCACGACTGGACCTAATGGTCAGGGGTCCCCTTTACCTTTTAAATCACTCTTGGGATGTTGCCTGTTGCCTCCTTAGCCTCAGGTATGCCTCTACCACTTCCCACACCGATCACTTTCTGCACCCCCAAATTCCAGCCTCTGTTGCACCACCCTCTAGCCCTCAAAGCAGCAAGATATTCTCCACCACCGACACTCCTAAATTTGCCCATTTCTATAAAAAGTCAATCATGCCTCTTCCAGAATCCACTGCCAGCTAGACTCTTAATTGCACCCCTCCCCTGTATGGCTTTTTTCAGGGTCGTTCCCGTTAGTTCCTCATCCCCCACCCCCCAAAAAGCATGGCAATTCGAACTCTCAACCTCGGTCCAGCCACAAAACTCCTCTCAAGTCTCAAGAACTTGACCCCACAAGTGCTGCAGTGTGACCCTCGAAGTCTCAGCTGGCCCCGAAACACCCCAACTTTGTTCCCTCCAGAGCCCCAGCTGTTTTCGTTGCTCTCCTGTGCAACCCCAAATGCTTACTCTATGCAGCCCCCAAAATTGCACCGTCTCCACCAGCACCTTCCCCTGTGGCCTAGCAAAAAACCCTATGCAAAACCAAGGGCCCCCCAAAAAACCCTCTGCAAAACCAAGTCCTTACAGGCATAAGCTATATGCACCCCACAAAATTCCAGCTGCTGCACAGCCACTACTTAACCCCCCCAAAAAAATCCAATGCAAAGTTCTGCAGGCACCACTCATAAAAGCACACTTCTCTGAACCCCTAAATCTTTGCTAGGCTTCTCCAGAGACCCCAAATCGTCCCCGTAGCCGTCAGCTGCCCCCTAAGCCATCGCTGCCCCCCATTAAAAGTACCCCCGGCCCAACAGCACCCCAAAACCAAACCCCCACAAATAAGCCCAGCCACTTCGCAACTAGCAGAACCCTGAAGTTTTTGTTGCCCCCCAAGAAAAGCCATGGCACGCACCCCCCATTCTTGCACCCCAAAGTTTTTACTGAGCTCCCCCCCCAAAAAAACACATTCCTGATTCCTCATAGCTGGGGGCTGCACCCCCAAATCGTTGCAGCGCCCCATAAACCCCCCCTGGGAGCCCCAAACTTGTCACGTCGACACTCCTGGGCCCCCTAAGTGTGGGTTGGGCCCCCTAAGTGTGGGTTGGGCCCCCTAAGTGTGGGTTGGGCTCCCTAAAAGTGTGGGTTGAACACCCACCCGACCCCCCACCCCCCCAAAAAACTCCAGCTGCCAAATCCAGCCCCAGAAAAGTCACAACTGCTCCATCCTCGCCCCTGCACCCCATTAACCCCCCCTCAAATGTCGACCCCCCCAAAAAAATAAGGGGCACAGCTTTACCTGCCTACCTGGAAGACCCCCCCCAAAAAAAACACACACCCCACCACTTCTCCCTCAAGCAGCCCCCCCAAAACAAAAGCAAGCCCCACCCCCCACCTCGGTGCCCCCCTCTCCCTTTTGGGGGTGGGGAGGGGGGTGGAGGAGAGACCCGACTTTTCTCCCTCCCCCCCCCCCCGCGCTTGACACTCAAACACACACTCACCTCCGCCATAGCCGAGAGTGCGAACGGCCGCGGGGGGGGGGAGAGCCCCGGATGTGGAGCCGCCCGCTGATTGGCTCCTACGCGCAGGAGATGGAAGGGGGAGGGGGGAGGAGGGAAGGGAGGAGGGGGGTAGATTCTGGGGTGGGGGGAGAGAGAGGGGGGCGGGAGGGGAAGGTGCGAGGCAGGTGAGGGGAAAGGAGAGGGGGGTGGAAGGGGAGGCGAAGGGGGTGGATGTGGGGGGGGGACTGAGGTAAAACGTGGGGGGGAGTGGGGATGAGAAAAGTGGGGAGGCTGAGGTGAAATGCGAGGTGGGGTGAAAAGGGAAGCGAAGGGTTAAATATGGGGAGAACTGGGGTAAAATGGGGGGAGCGGGGGGGAAAGTGGGGAGGCTGAGGTGAAATGCGAGGTGGGGTGAAAAGGGGTAAATATGGGGAGAAAGGGGTGAATATGGGGAGAACTGAGGTAAAATTTGGGGGGAGGGAAGAAAAGTGGGAATGTGAGGGGAAAGTGGGGAGGCTGAGGTGAAATGCGAGGTGGGGTGAAAAGGGAAGCAAAGGGTTAAATATGGGGAGAACTGGGGTAAAATGGGGGAGCGGGGGGGAAAGTGGGGAGGCTGAGGTGAAATGCGAGGTGGGGTGAAAAGGGAAGCGAAGGGGTAAATATGGGGAGAACTGGGGTAAAATGGGGGGAGCGGGGGGGAAAGTGGGGAGGCTGAGGTGAAATGCGAGGTGGGGTGAAAAGGGAAGCGAAGGGGTAAATATGGGGAGAACTGGGGTAAAATGGGGGGAGCGGGGGGAAAGTGGGGAGGCTGAGGTGAAATGCGAGGTGGGGTGAAAAGGGGTAAATATGGGGAGAAAGGGGTGAATATGGGGAGAACTGAGGTAAAATTGGGGGGAGGGAAGAAAAGTGGGAATGTGAGGGAAAAGTGGGGAGGCTGAGGTGAAATGCGAGGTGGGGTGAAAAGGGAAGCAAAGGGTTAAATATGGGGAGAACTGGGGTAAAATGGGGGGGAGCGGGGGGAAAGTGGGGAGGCTGAGGTAAAATGCGAGGTGGGGTGAAAAGAGAAATGAAGGGTTAAATATGGGGAGAACGAGGTGAAATGCGAGGTGGGGTGAAAAGGGAAGCGAAGGGGTAAATATGGGGAGAACTGGGGTAAAATGGGGGGAGCGGGGGGAAAGTGGGGAGGCTGAGGTGAAATGCGAGGTGGGGTGAAAAGGGGTAAATATGGGGAGAAAGGGGTGAATATGGGGAGAACTGAGGTAAAATTTGGGGGGAGGGAAGAAAAGTGGGAATGTGAGGGAAAAGTGGGGAGGCTGAGGTGAAATGCGAGGTGGGGTGAAAAGGGAAGCAAAGGGTTAAATATGGGGAGAACTGGGGTAAAATGGGGGGAGCGGGGGGGAAAGTGGGGAGGCTGAGGTAAAATGCGAGGTGGGGTGAAAAGAGAAATGAAGGGTTAAATATGGGGAGAACGAGGTGAAATGCGAGGTGGGGTGAAAAGGGAAGCGAAGGGTTAAATATGGGGAAAACTGAGGTAAAATGGGGGGGAGCGGGGGGAAGTGGGGAAGCTGAGGTGAAATGCGAGGTGGGGTGAAAGGGGAAATGAGGAGTAAATATGGGGAGAAAGGGGTGAATATGGGGAGAACTGAGGTAGAATTTGGGGGAGGGAAGAAAGTGGGAATGTGAGGGGAAAGTGGGGAGGCTGAGGTGAAATGTGAGGTGGGGTGAAAAGGGAAGCAAAGGGTTAAATATGGGGAGAACGGAGGTAAAATGGGGGGAGCAGGGGGGAAGTGGGGAGGCTGAGGTAAATGGGGGCAGGGGGAGGGAAGAAAGTGGGAATGTGAGGGGAAAGTGGGGAGGCTGAGCTGAAATGCAAGGGGAAATGAAAGGGGAAATGTTTTTGTTTTTTTAAAGATATTTATTAAAGTTTTCAAAAATGTTACAAAAAGAAAAAATACAAAGTAAAAACAGTTAAAAACAATTCAATCTTTCCGTATCTTATCTTTCATTTGCTTGTTCCCCAGACCTCCTCACACCTCCCTTTTTGTATTCCAGTTCAATTAGTTAATTCAGCAAATCCTTTCCCTCTTTGTTTTTATCCTAATCTTTAATCTTAATATATTATAACTTTAGATTATCACCTGTTAACAATCCATTTTTGCACATCTTTATAACATTACTGCTAAAAACCACTTAACTTCAATCCAACATCATTCTAACATTCATTAATTTTGCAGTATTTTCTGTAGATAGTCTTTAAATTTCTTCCAATCTTCTTCCACCGACTCTTCTCCCTGGTCTCGGATTCTGCCGGTCATCTCCGCCAATTCCATGCAGTCCATCACCCTCGAAAGGGGAAATGTTGCTGCTTTTTTATTATTATTATTATTATTATATTTATTGAAATTTTAACATTGAACTCAACAACCCAACAATACCAATAACAATGGCAACAAAAACCATTACAAACTACACAAATACAAAAAGAAAAAATACAAAACAAGTAAAAAAGATGCACAATCAGACATATAAAAACAAAAAATGAAAACAGCACATAAAATTATACTTTCCAAAATGTCCTTTCCTTAACTTGTTCCTTTGACTTCCTCTCGCCTCCCTTTTTGCATTCTATTTTAATTTGTTGTTTTAGCAAATCCTTCTGATTTAACATTACCTGCTTTTTCATAATAATATATTACACATAATCTAAAAACAGCTTATGCAAAGTCAAATTGTTTAATACCAGTCTCTTTCTAAACTTCTTTAATTTTGCCATATTTCTGTAAATAGTCTTTGAATTTCTTCTAATCTTCTTCCACCTTCTCTTCTCCCTGATCTCGAATTCTGCTGGTCATTTCTGCCATTTCCATGTAGTCTATCAGTTGCATCTGCCAGTCTTCCGTTGCTGCTTTAAATGTCTAGGGCAGAGACAGCCTCTTGCTCACTCCAAAGCAGACTAAAAAATGAACAGACCCTAACCAGGACTAAGCTTTCTGGTTTCAAACTGGCAACTAATCCGTCCAATTTGGACTCTTGCTGATTAACCCATTAAACTGAGAGAAGCCGACAGGTGCAGCTCTTACTGATACGCCTGTGGGACTCTCTGCCACATGATTCCATGACGGCCTTTTAAACGCAGCTGCCTCTTTCAGTGGCAAAGTTTTTATCAGTGGTTGCAAGAACCACTGATCCCTATCTTTTGAGCAAAATGCTTTTTTAACCTGGAGGTAGGCTGTATGAATTGTAAATTTCTTTTGTATCAATTTGTTGTGTCTCTGGACCGTAATAAAGACTGATTGATTGATTGATCAGTGGATTGGACCACAGGCGTGGCTTTTCGAAGGGGTCGAGAGATAAAAAATACTTCTTTACATGATACAGAACTCAGGTGCCGAAATCCCAAGGGAGCAGAAAAGACTATGGATGCGACCACGGCTGCGCAGATGTTACTGGCCCAGAGATGGAAGATAAAGATCAAGTTCCTACCAGAGAAGAATGACAGATTCTTCCATCGTGGAACTGAGGGCAGGTAATCGGTCTCTTGTGTGGACTTGCTAGACTCCAGTCCTGTTTAGCTTCAGCAAAATTTCCTCCAGTGCCTTCAGTCTATACCCTGGAACATCGGGTTTTATCAAATGCTAGTCAAGGGAATTATAATCAAGGGAATTATGGCGCTGGAGAAGACTCTTGAGAGTCCCATGGACGGCAAGAAGATCAAATGCATCCATTCTTAAGGAAATCAGACCTGAGTGCTCACTGGAAGGACAGATCGTGAAGCTGAGGCTCCAGTACTTTGGCCACCTCAGGAGAAGAGAAGACTCCCTGGAGAAGACACTGATGCTGGGAAAGATGGAGGGCACAAGGAGAAGGGGGCGACAGAGGACGAGATGGTTGGATAGCGTTTTTCGAGGTTACCAGCATGAGTTTGACCAAACTGCGGGAGGTAGTGGAGGACAGAGGTGCCTGGCATGCTCTGGTCCAGGGGGTCACGAAGAGTCGGACACGACTAAACGACTAAACAACAGTCAAGGGATGAGGGTGGCGCTGTGGGTTAAACCACAGAGCCTAGGACTTGCCGATCAGAAGGTCGGCGGTTCGAATCCCCGCAATGGGGTGAGCTCCTGTTGCTCGGTCCCTGCTCCTGCCAACTTAGCAGTTCGAAAGCACACCAAATTGCAAGTAGATAATAGGTACCACTCCAGCGGGAAGGTAAACGGCATTTCCGTGCGCTGCTCTGGTTCGCCAGAAGCGGCTTCGCCCTGCTGGCCACATGACCCGGAAGCTGTACGCCGGCTCCCTCGGCCAGTAAAGTGAGATGAGCGCCGCAACCCCAGAGTCAGTCACGACTGGACCTAATGGTCAGGGGTCCCTTTACCTTTTTATCTTTCCAAGCTTTCCAAGTCCAGTGACGACTTTTGTACGTCAAATGTGAACCATCAAAAACCAGACGCTGGAGACACAAGGTTATAGGATTGTGTTGGACCCATTCTGAGTAGACCCATTAGAAATAATAAGCATCACTAACTTAGGTCCGTTAATTTCTTTTAAAAAATAGATCACAACTATCAACATCCTACACACAAAGTACCTCACCCTAACCCAGAAGATGGGAGTTTAGACAGCACATCCAGAACAACATCCCCAAACCACAGAAAGTTCCTATCCCAGACAACGAAAAGTTTATACAGGTTATATTAACCAAAAAACTTTATACTATGTGGGTAGCCCACTCTTCACTTTTAACCATGCCCATAACAAAGCTGTTCCAGACAGTTGCAAAAGCGTCTTTATGCTTCAAACCTTTTGCCGATTTTACTTTGTTAATTCAATTTCCACCCCCCACAAGTGCTATTTTGTGACCATAATTTTCTCGTACTGGTTTGCCAAAGAAAAACACCTTCCAAATTCACCCAGCACCTTTGGTGAGCCTGACCTGGCCACTACTAAAAGAGAAATTATTAGAGGTTTGAACTGTAAGTTAGTATTATCTCCTGCGAAAAGATTACATTATTTTCAGTGAGTTTACCCCGTGCATAACTTAGTTGGATACAACCCAA